CATTGAAATCAAAAACCAATGCACATTGAAATCAAAAACCAATGCACTAAATTATGTATGATAGTGCAGTCTACTTGTGTGCCAAGTTATTTTGAAATCAGACCAAAACTGTAGGAGGAGTAGCGTTTTAAAGGAATTTCACAGAAATTTCTATTTTTATTAACCATGGCAACACCGTTCATTGAAATAAAAACTGATGCACTAAATTATGTATCTTAGTGTAGTCTGCTTGTGTGCCAAGTTATATTGTAATCAGACCAAAACTGTAGGTGGAGTAGTGTTTTAAAGGAATTTCACAGAAATTTCTATTTTTAGTAACCATGGCAACATTGTTTATTGAAATCAAAAACCTATGCACTAAATTATGTATCATAGTGTAGTCTACTTGTGTGCAAAGTTATTATCCCCTCGCGCAACTAGTTGCGGAGGGGATATAGCATCGCTACTGTGCGTATGTGTGTGTGGTAGTGTGTTAGTGTGTCCGTTACAGCTTGTGGGCAAGATTTAAAGAGAACCTTTGCACTATCATTTTTCAGCCTTCACATACTTATGTGGCATTGTAAAAGGACGAAACCTATTCATTTTCAAGTTAAGCGGTGAAATAGTTCTTAAAATATCACGTTTTTACTACCTTCAAACCCTGCAATTTTATGTACGAGTTGACAATACTCACTTCCGGTAAATTTAACAGGTTAAAATTCGGGTCGTTTTGATAGAGCCGCTTCTGTAAGTTCTACTTTGTATTTGCGTATTGTCATTTTATTGTGCGTATCTGAGAAAGTTTTTATGAATTAAAAGTGTCATCTCTGTCACAGAGTAACTGAAATAATTTGATGAACGTCGCGGTTTCAATACCAAATTGCCACACGTGTGTGTGTTTACAATAGGGGCCTGAGGCGCACGTAATTCTTGAAAGTTATAAACAGTGATAAATATAAAGTTTCACAAGTGCCATTGACATCTCAACACCGGTATATTGTCATTTTTCACTACAAAAAAATATTATTTCCGTGCGTATTTTCAGATTTGAGGCATATTCCATGCTACTGTGAGGTTTACTCAGGTAGGAAAATTAATGAAATTTAAAGCATACGTGACATGTTTCTGCTAGGAATAAGGGAAACTGCCCAATCACGTATGCTTATGACGCAACCCCCACCCCACCCCCGAGGATATCCACCTTGACTTTTGTTAAAATTTAATTAGTGTTGCAATATATTTTAATTTCTTTACCTTATTTTAAACTTTACATAGGAATACTGGGTACCGTTGATTATTAGGGCTTGATGATTGTATTTTGTTTAAAGTCCCTCTTGAGAATTTTTCTCTCGTATGGAGACATTGCCATTACTGGTGAAGTTCCTGGCGTGAGGGGATGCTCCGCTTAGCGGTGCTCTTGTATTGTAATCAGACCAAAACTGTAGGAGGAGTAGCGTTTTAAAAGGAATATCACAAAAATATTCCATTTTTAGTAACCATGGCAACATTGTTCATTGAAATCAAAAACCGATGCACTAATTTTTGTATCTTAGTGTAGTCTACTCATGTGCCAAGTTATATTGAAATCAGACCAGAACTGTAGGAGGAGTAGCATTTTAAATGAATGTCACAGAAATTTCTATTTTTAGTAACCATGGCAACACCGTTCATCAAAATCAAAAACTGCTGCAATAAATTATGTATCTTACTCTAGTCTACTTGTGTGCCAAGTTATATTGAAGTCTAACCAAAACTGTAGGAGGAGTAGCATTTTGAAAAATTGTTTACAGACAGACGGACAGGCAGACAGACGGACGACGGACACCATACTATTATATAAGCTCTTCTGGTCTCTGACCAGTAGAGCTAACAAAGAGAGATTACTCTATAATTTTAGTAAAACTTGTGTTTTTCACTATAGAAATTAATGGAAAATGGAAATTAATTTTTAAACATCTTGAGTCCTTGAAATGTTTCAACCATAAAGTAGGTCACTGTGACCTACTTTTGGAATTCATGGGTATATTTAGATATTTCAGACACTAATTGGCTAAGAATCACCAGACTTTGTCAATTGATGCATCTTTGGTCCTGGAAATGTGTCAAGTCAAAAGTAAGTCAGAGTGACTTACTTTTGGAAATTTAAGGCAATATCTGAATTTTTCAAAGAATAAGAGGCTTGGAATCATCAAGCTTTGTCTGCTGATGCATATTTAGTCGTTTGGTTATTTCATCAAGAAAATAGGTCACTCTGACCTACTTTTGACTTTTCTTGGCTATATTTAAATATTTCAAAAACTAATTGGCTTAGGAATCATCAAACTTTGATAGTTGATGCATTTCTGAGTATGTTAACAAAAGAGTATGTCATGGTGACTTAATTTTGGAGTTTCACAGCTATATCAAATCATTTTGTATAATAAGAGACTTAGAGTCATCAAACCGTGTCAGTTGATGCATTTTGAGTCCTCAGAGTTTCTTAACCAAAAAAGTAGGTTACTGTGATCTACTTTTGGAATTTCAAGGTTTAATCTTCCCTAATATTTCAAATAATATGAGGCTTAGAATAGAAGTAATAGTGTTGTACAATTTATCAGAAGAGCAATTCTAGGGCCTTGGGCCTCTTGTTATTACACAAATACATACCAATTGAAAGCTTTTGTTGTTTCACAGGGAGGAACATATGTTTACAGACAAAAAAAAAAAAAAATGGCCACTTTATATCAACTTCAAAGGAGATTATAAATAAAGATTTTATCAAATTTCATAAATTAAACATATGGAAAAATTTAATGGTCATTTATTCATTTCAATGCATATTTGAAAATTGTGATGTGTTAAAGCCTGATTTCAATGGATAAAAGAGCAAGGGCCACTTAGGGCCTTTTTGGGCCCTATAAATTTCTGAAAAATTTAAACTGCATAGTTTTAGTCAACAAGGCAATAAATATCACTTGAACACTTGGTGACTGAATTTCTACTAAAAATGACATAATTTTCTTGCTAGTCAATACATTATGACGTCATGAATTGCGTCATTATTCACATATCCCGAATATTTCTTCAAAAATGGCCAAAATATGATGCTATTTTTCAATATTTTGTATACAGCACAACCTCCAATCCAAAATGTTCAAATATACAGTTAAACTTCATTATCTCGAAGTTGAGGGGACCGTTGATGAACTTCGAGATATCCGGGGGTTCGACATATCGAGGGTTATAATTCAAATGAACTTCAAATAAACTTAGTGCAGTGAACATGTACTTAATAGTAAAAACACGTCAAAATTCCTTCTTGTTTGAAATTCTGTATACGATTTCTTTAATATACATGTACATGTATTTAGCAATAAAAAGATTTTTGCATCCTCTTTATAATTCACAAAATAAAAACTTTGTATAATATGCACAGAAGTATAATCCTTCTACCAACGCGGCAAGTCAACTGCTAGCATCGTTTCCCATGTATACATAACCAGATATCATTTATGCATAGTAGATTTTAAAAACCGGTCGCTGTCAGAATAACGAAAACGAAATATACATTTTCTTTTATTGGAAAAACATGATCATACATGTATAATTGGTTAAAATAAAATTATTTTACCATAATAAAATCAAATGCAGAAGAAGAATCACGCACTTTTGTCTAACAAGAGAACAACACTGAATCACACGGCACAAGTTTTCACTGCGACACACGTTCACATGACGGTGTGTACTGACGATTGTAAATTCTGCACGCTCATGTAGGAAAAATAAATTCTAATTGCATTAAATTACAGAATTTTGTTTCACTTTGATGTTTATAACTTTCACTTTCATATGCATAAACTATGTATGCGCGCAATTTCACATAGCATTAAATAGCGATTATCAAGATAAACGTACCCAAGCCACAAAACAATTAACGTGTCATCCGCGCATATGCATTAGACTAATACACACAACCTTTGGCTTGCATAATTAAAATCAAGTGTAAGCCATACATACACTTCGTATAATTATCGCGCTATTGCATGTATCTGTTGATCACAGGAACGCAGGTAACCCGAGCATGACAGACAGGTGGGTGTTATCAATAGAGCATTCAGTTTACCTAACGGACTTGATCATCAGAGCGGAAAGTTATCTGACTTCGAGATAACGCATGTGATTTTAATGAATGGGAACACAATTTTACTTCGAGATAACCGGGGTATTCGACATTACCGTGTTCGACATAGAGGGGTTTATTTTAATCATGTATAAGGCAAATTTCGTCGGGACCGCGGCCTTACTTGGATATATCTGGGGTATTCGAGATATCCGTGTTCGAGATTTCGAAGTTTAGCTGTATTATGAAAGAACTGCTTATTAAGATTATAAAACATACTTTAATTTTTGGATCGAGGGGTGTGCTCATATTTTAATTCTTCGTTGAAGGTTCTCAAATTCACCTGTTTTCTGCAAAATTCAAGAACATTGCAATTTCACACAACCTGTTTTCCAGTATCTGGAGTCTTTAGAGGAAACTTTTATATACAAACTGAAAGCGCCAAGTCTCTACTTTATATTGATGTTAAGAAAGGGAAATAGTGTGTTAGTGGATAAATTGGTTTATCTACAGGGCCATTTTATGCATAAAGTGAACCTAGCTCTTTTTCACCCCATTATGAAAAGAGCTGTAATTGGAAGTAATGAACTTATTGACACTGATTTTAGAATTATTAATCAATTACTAATGAATTCTTCTTTGCATTCAAACAAGTTTTAATGAACAAAATGCCATTTATATTGAATTAGAGGGGTGATACAGGGCAGTTTTTACAGTCTGTTTCTATTTCAAAATCAAGTCTTTATAACAGGCCTGTATTCAAAATGGGACTGTTTTCTTTTCCAGGCCAGGTGTTAAGGACTCTTTTATTTTAAATCTGAAGGTGTATTTTACTTTTCCAGGCCAGATGTTTACAGGCTTTTTTTGTTTTTTGTTTTCCAGACCAGATGTTTACAGGCTTTTTCTGTTTTTTGTTTTACAGGCCAGGCGTTTACAGGCAGCAGGTGCTATAGGAGGCATTGTCATTGGTAAGAATATTAGCCTTAATACAACATCAATAGGAAGTATGTGGCATTATTTCTATCAATAATGCTAAATTTATTTTGTAATGAATTATTTCCAATGATGAATTAGTTACTTACACAACATCAGATTAAAAGCAATAAGTTCATTACAATACTTTAGATTCCTATTTATACACAAGGAATTAATTATTGTGTAATTACGCGAGAAGCACCACTTGCGAAATAAAATTGCTCGCTTTTTTTTATGGTCCTGAAATCAATGTGAAATCCCTTCATAAACCATCCACTCATAAATTAATGTTCTCACGATTTGACGTTAGAGAGCCATTTCGTGATAATAAGTACTCGCTAAAAATATTGTATACAGGGAAATTTTCGCCCCAATTTATTTTCGCCCCTTTCGCCCTACCCTCATTTGGGCAAATTTAAACGGGGCGAATTAAAGGAATACAGTATTATTTCTTAAACAAAACTATGACTGGGCGAATTTAAAACGGGGCAAACTTGTTTGCAAGTATGAAAGGGCGAAAATAACACGGGGCGAAAAAAAACCTGTATACAGTAAGGAATCCAGTATAACAGCAACTTCAAAGTTTTGATACATGAACAACAGGCCTTAAGGAAACTTAGGATGAAAGTTGAGCAGTAGAGAGTTGGGGGAGTAATGATTTATGACCTAATTAGCTCATGAAATATGGAGATATTGAACAGTAAACAAGCTCAAAAGCAGGGATCGACATTAACGGTTGTCCGATTGCCTGGGACAAGTAAATCATCAGTTCGGGCAAGTGAAATTGTCGATGCATTTGTCCAATAGGGCAAGTGAATTTTTTTCATTCATATGTACATATTTATTTAGTCTACATAAATTTATAAATAAAACAATAAATTGAACACTTTATTTCTGCAACATACCTGACCTGTTTTTGCATTCGGAATCCCTTGCTAGCGTTTCTGTATTATACCGTTCATTTAAAAATCAGGTTCTTATTTTCTTTCGTAGTAAATACACTCTACGTCTAACAAAATTTTGTTAACTTCTTATTAGGAAATTAGATTATTTATTCACGCACAAAATATAAGTACAGTGTAACAGGATGTATCCTGATTAAGATAAGGTGTATGTTTCGTAGCAACTATCTTCCTTTAGCGTTGCTTCAGAGTTATCTCTGAAAATCGCGATTCACAAAAGGATCCTACCAAAAATAATTTTTAATGAATTTTATTATAAGGAAATGGAGGGCAACTGCTGCATGGCAGTGTGTGCTAATAGGTTAAATTTACACATTTATGTACAAATGCAGCATTGCAATTTTTTCAGGTAGCTCAACTTGCCAAATTGACAATAGTGTATTTGGTCACATTTTTCCTTATCATAACATTTACAGTAACATTGATTGATTGATTGTATGTTGTTTTACGTCTCATTCAGGAATTTTTCACTCATATAGAGACGTCACCATATACCATATACCGGTGAAGGCTTCAAATTTTGACCTTTACTCGGCACTTAGGGCCATTGAGCAGTGAGGGATTTTTATTGTGCCAGCGCCTGCTGTGACACGGGGCCTCGGTTTTTAAGATCTCATCCGAAGAACCCGCAACTTTCACTTCAAAGTGTCGAGCGCATGGTGAAGGAACAGTTGCTACCCATTTTTTATCAACTTAGGTCAGTCGCGGCCGATATTCGATCTCACGACCTCCCGATCACGAAGCGCTTTACAGTAATAAATAATTTTCTTCTTAAGTTCTTTCCTAATTTGGGCAACCAAGTTTTGTATTCGGACAAGTCAAAGTTTGAGATCACTTGCCCGAAGGACAAGTGAATCTGACAGTTAATGTCTATCCCTGAAAAGTCCATTGAAACTATACAAATTGGGAGCAGAGAAAACACAGACCTCTAAAAAACATCAGAGGTGGGATCAGGTGCCATAGTGGAGTTAGCATTCCATGTTGACTGCTCATGTGAAACAAAGGCTCAAGTGGGCTTAACTAATGAAAAGGTGTCTGACATTATCTATCCTGCATAGTTTGTCATGTGTCATCTGTAAACTTTTCACATTTTTGACTTTTTCTCCAGAGCCAATGGGCCAATTTCAACCAAACTTGCCTCAAAAAGCATTTTTGGGTGATGGGATTTTAAGTTAATTCAAATGAAGGGACATGTACTCTCTCAATGGGAGATGATTAAGAAATGGTGAAAATTTGGTGGCATCTTTTAAAAATCATCTTATGATCCTAACTGGGTCAGAGAAGATGAAACTTATATTAAAGTTTCTTGAAGGTGTTCATTCAAATTAGTTAATATCATGGCTTCTGAAGGTAGGATGGGGTCACAATAAGGGATCAAAGTTTCATAAAGGACTGAGCTAAAAACTCAAGTCAGCTTTTACCTGCCATCAAATTCTTTTTTCTTCAGATAACAACAAAGAAAGTACTGCAGAGTCAAGTTTGTTATTTGCAATGTCTGGAGATGGCCAGTCAGATGTGGTGATCCCCCTTGTCTTCCTGTTCTTTAAGGAGGGACAGCGGTTATTGGACGCGGCTTACGAGTACCCAGACTTAGAGCTTTTATTGACGTACACACCTAAAAGTGACGGCAAGTTATCACATTTAATGAATTAGTAGGACACTGATTTAGAGTTCTCAGATTTGTAGGTACTGTTGACCTACACGTATGTACTGAAAAGTGATGCCAAGTTGTTACATCATTATTATATTTAATCAGTGATTGGCCTTATTGATAATGGCTTAATAGATTAATTGGACACAGAAATATTTGATTGACATCTTTCTTAGGGAATGACATGAATACTGTTATAACAAAAGGTTATCAGCAGTGAGATACACTTAAAGAAACATATCTCCCCCTTATTAATTCATTTGAGAAATTGAAATTATATTCTGTAATGAATGTACTAATACTTTTTTTTATGTTACTTTGATATTTATTTGAAAAAAAAATGTTATGAGTAAATTCATTATAAATAAGAATGTGATAAATAGACTATCTTATTTTCTAAGAATTCAAATTTTTGTGAGAAAATCTTTATACTGTGTATTCAGTCTCCATGGCAACCGGGTGCACGTGTGAAACTTTTAACACCATATTGGGTAGTTTCTATCCAAGGCACACCTGTTGTGCAAACTTCATCAAAATTGGAGAGATGTTGTTTCAAAGATTTTACAGAGAATGCATGTTTAAATGTCAAGTTATTTAAGAAGTGAAGTACTTTTAGCACTTTAAATAAGACAAAAACAAAAATATATTAAATCAGTATAAAAAAGTGTTTACAATAGATGTAGAAGGGAGAGATGCTTAATAGAGATTTTTTTCCCTAACTTTCAGTGGTTTTCAATACAGCCAATAGTGAAAAAGCAGAACCTTTAAATCCAGGTGACTCAGAGAAAAAGGAAGTCCCAACAGAAATCCACACCAAAGTACAAGTGGAAGCTCCACCCTCCACAGAATCCACTCAGGTGGAGAGTTCTTCTAATGACAAATCTGCAGAACTGAACACCCAGGCTACTAAACATGTCCAGTCTGTGGAAGCTTTAGAATCTCTAGGAAAAACTACAGACACATACAGGTACAAGTTATTACAGTGTTAGACAAGTCCCTACACATCATCAGGAATGCTAAGCCACTCCACACAGTATTAGAAATGAAAGGGTAGCTCACACAGTATGAGGTGTGAAAGACCCCTCCTCACAGCATTAAGAGTGATGAACCACTGCATATCATTAGAAAGGAATGGCCACTTCACACAGCATTAAGAATGAAAGGCCATTCCACAAATGGCCACTCCATACAGCATTAAGAGTGATAGCAGGGTTTGACACTAACTTTTTTTAGGCTTTAGTCCAGCCGGAATAGTACTTCTTTATTTTCTAGTTCACACACAATTTTTTTGAGTCCATCAAAAAACAGAAACATCAATGTTTTGTAATGATTAATTTAAAAATAAACATTACAATGTACTTTTTCTACTTTTTTTGAAATAAACAAAGCATCTATGTGAAGTGTTTTAATCAGACTTGTTGAAATCTTCCCATCAACAAGTACAATCATATTCCTGATCTCGTTATTTTTCTCAATACTTACATCCAAAATGTCCGATATCTTTCCTTTATGTGTCATACTAAATCATGATTGCTAAATGTTTTACTTCATATCAGTCAGTCATAAAATTAAGCACTGAATTGACTTGGAATTGTCTAACTACCTGCCAAGAAGCTAAAAAGCTAAAAATGCGGGGTTTTCCAGTAAAAGTTGTTGAGAATCAGAAATCAGTAATTTATTTGACATATTGTTTTCGAGAAATTTTAATTGGTGCGTTTGGACTAATTAGCCAAAGAGACTATTAGTCTGAATGAAAATGTATTAATCTGAGACTATAACATTAGCGTCGAACACTGGATAGGTCATTTTACATACTGTAAACCAATTTTATTCATGTGTGAGAAATATTCGCGAGTTTTGCGACCTACTTGAATTCGTGAAAATTAATCGCCACGAACCTTTTATTTTGCTTTGTATTTATAGAGAATGTTTTCTCAGTCGCAAAAATTAATCGCTGTGGATTGATTTCAAACTGACGAATCGCGAATAAAAGACGACGCGAATAATAGTTGGTTTACAGTATCCATATCCCATTCAGCTTTAGAAATGGAAGCCCTCTCCACTTATCAACAGAATCATACAGATTGCTGTAGGAAAGATAAAGATAGGCCAATTCCAATGCTTAGAAGCCACTCCCCACAACATAAGGAATGATAGGTCACTACAAATATCATTAGAAATGAACATTAACCCCACACAGCATTAGAAAAGAAAGGTCAATCTACATAGTAAGAAATGAAAAGAAATTCTGAATGAACACCATCTCCACTTGACTGTAGAAAGTATAGGTCAATCATCATATCATTAGACTGATGGCCACACAGCTTTAGGAAAGTATATGCATATCCACATATTAGAAATAAAAGGCCACTTCACAGGTTTAGGAAACATAGATTAATCCACATGGTTAGAAATGAAAAGCCATTCAACATATCATAAGAAATAAAAATGACCACTCCACACAGCTTTAGGAAGGATAGGCTATTCCACATGAATTGAAAGGCCATTCAACAAAGCCTAAATGTTTCCTTGTAACTGAGATTTTCTTGTAAGCAAGTTCATTATAACTGAGTTTTACTGTATTCACATTATCACTTGTTTGATTCAGCACCATCAAAAGTATTTTAAACTACTGGTTTTTAAAACTCTGATTTTATTTATTTTAGCTGCAGCACTCAATATGGCCCAGCATTTTTGTCTGTTTTTGCCACAACACTGCCAGGGGAGAATAGTTTTACAATAATTCGCAATAAGGATAATACAGTGGACTTGAGGTTTCATCTTTTCCAAGTCACAGAAAACAGAAAACCAGAAATAAATACTTTATATGTTCAGATAGTGGAAATATTACGCCAGAGAACAAACTTTCTATTGCTAGAAAAACAAGAGGAATATTTAATAGCTCTGGCCAGAATGCTAGAAGCAGCCATTTTTCAGGTAGATATTAGCCATGATACAGGGCAAAATATTTTAAAACTGACTGGACTTCTTCAAGTAGAGGAGGACCCCATTATAATCTCAGGACCTAAAGATATGGTGGACGGTGCTTCACATTTATACACTTCACAGAGCAAAGACAAAAATCAAAGTTTTTCTTGCAAGAGGACTAATCCATTACTGAAATTTAGTGAAAGACATTGTCCACTTCAGAAAAACAGGAAAGTGACCAAAGTGGACAGTATACCACAAAAACAAGCCAGCGACGGAGTTTAACGCATTTAGAGAATATGTTTTATTTTGTAATTTATAAAGGATTAAGTATAATTGTGCAACATCATTCTGGAAGCTGGACAAGTCAGGAAAAATTAAATTTGCTGGTATATTCAAACAATTTAATGTAAAATTATTAATTGGCATTCTTTGATATACACATTGGAGTGATCTGTACATCTGGAAGCATCTCATCCATAATTCGGAGACACCTTGAAATTCAATATATTTCAAAAGTATAAGAAAAAAGTAATTCAGTTAAAAAAAAATAAAATATAAAACAGAATGTTGATTAAAACATGACCAGTTTTATTTTGATCCTCAGTAGATTTTAACATACATATATTTAGTTGCACATAAAAATCTAGGTTCTATTCCTATGTACAAGTCAAAACTCATATTGAATAACTAAGACTGGTAGAGTTTTAATCTTTGTTTTCTGATTGTAAAGGATATTTACATTTATTAAAGTTTGGCTTATTAGGAGGGAGCTTTGAAATGTGATGAGTATTGGTAGATATATCTGATTTATTTAAGTTTGGTTACATGCTCCAGTATTAAGTGTACCTGTGGGTGACTCTAAGAGACATTTTGTCTTTGATTGTTTTTGTCTCATGGCAAGTAATCGAGGCAGAATGATATAATAAGAATAAGTTTATTTCATTTGGAAGTGCCTCTAAGTTGTAAACAATCAAGACATATATTTTGTATGTTGTGTAAGTTGAACATGTATAGAGCTGTCCATAAGTATTGATAAACAAAGTGAAACTTTGAAATTCTTTCCAGATTATTAGCTTTATGTGAGGTTTTTTTTAAAAAAGAATTTGGTGCATTTTATGAAATTTATGTAAAGCTTTTACATTGGAAGCTGATGAAACAGTTGTGTCATATTTGATGATGTCCCTTGTTTTTGACATAAGCTGATGTTTTTTAGATTTAACATTTTGAATGCAATATATGTTCTTGTTTTACTAATTAATTTTCAATTAATGCCTCATTCAGTATTTGCATAAAAGGAATAATTAACTGGACACCACCATAGAACATGCAAAAATGATGTAACATGACTGCTATTGTAAGAAGTTGATAAAAATCTTTTTGAGACACAACTTTAAGCACTGAAGCTTTGAACCCCAGTCTAAAAACTTGGTGTTAAGCATCGTAGTATTTTAAAATGTTACAGATAATTTTATTTTATATATGTAAAATTTTTACTTGAATTATGAATATGAATTCAGATTAGTCAAGTATTTCTTTCATAAATGTATGATTATACAAAAGGTTCACTAAACTCAGCAAGTAACCTCTCTGTTTCAGCATCATAAATTAAACAGAGGTAAACATTTCGGAATGTACTATTTTTAATTTTTCTACCAGAAGAATTATTTGAACTACAGTTAGGTAATATTGTTTTCCTTGTAGTTTGTCTTCAGTAGAACCAGCTGACATTTTTCATCATCAGTAAAGTTTCTCTGATAAAATAATAATTTATAGATAACTTGATAGAAGAAGTCTTGAATTTCTTCTTGATTTGATATATTTATTGTTTTAATTGACATATCCTTTTTTTTGTTTATAGTTGAACCTCATAAATTAATGCCAATATAGTCATAGTGTGTGAGGGTGTGAGGGTGTGTGTGATAGAGAGATAGAAAAATTATCATATTTCATTGATTTCATCAACTGGATAATCTCTTTAGTTGATTGAACAAAATGAGAATATTGTCAAAAGGAAAACAAACTGCCAAATCTCCTTCCACAGTAATATGCAATGTTCAAAAACACTGAATTAATTTCAAGACAAAGATTTGTGTTTGTTGTTTTGTGTTTTTAAACTGGTTGTAAATTAGAGATAGATATTAATGTTTTTATTTCCTGCTCATACAGAAATCACTAACTTCCAGTATCTGCTATGTACAGTTTTATTCCAAACTAGATTTCCATTGAAAGATATATTGAAAAAAAATACAAATAAACTCTTCTGTGTAAAAGATAAGACAATTTGTTTGTGGTACATGTATGAAGTTTTGTTCCTGTAAAGTTTCAGGGAACATTTTCAAGGATCTATTTTTACATTTTGCAAAATTGAAATTTCCAAACTAGATTTTCATTGAAAGAAATATTGAAAAAAATACAAATAAACTCTTCTATGTAAAAGATATGAAAATTTGTTTGTGGTACATGTATCTTTCTGAACCCTCTATACACCAAAGAATAACGTTTTTTAAACTCTGGAGAAATTATATAAAGATATATATATTGAATTTCAATTTTCAGCTAAGGGTACCTGCCATTTGCCCACCAGGAAAAAATATTCAAAGTGTTGAACTATAATCACTATTGCTTACTTAAATGAGAAAAGTAATTGCACATAAAGTGTTCAATTAATTCATCCAGACCAAATGAAATATTAAGAATGCTTGAATTGATTACAAATTAAGTAATGAACTTCAGATTTCAATTTATTTTGTATAAGATCTAAGGGCAGATCAGTTTAACTGCAATAAAATACCATGAAATTTAGAACTCTTTAGTGTGCTGTGTATAGACGGTTCCTTATGTCATAATTCTTAGTAGTAAGATTAGAACACCATTAATTCACACTTTCAGATGTAGGCCTATAAGACAAATACCCTAAATGTAATGCATGTTAAACAACAACTTTAATTACTAATTCTCTGTATAATGATGCAAACTGTGCTCATTTTTGGTGCATTTTAATTAAGGCATTGTATTTCCTTACATTTAAAACAAAGTACACTCTCTGTGTATCTATGTATGTGCAGTTCAATTAAATCCAAGTATTTGTCATTGACCCTTTTATTTCATATCATCTGTTTGATTTTTTGATTCAGTTCATTTCAGTGATTCAAACATTGTACAACCAGGTCTTGTATAAAGAGGTATTAATGGTATTACACTCACAAGTGAGTTATATTTAGCTTTCAGATCTAAATTGTAAGAAATAAAGCCACATTGTCTTCTGAATGTTACATTTTTTCTCTCTGTGTGTTTAAAAAATTGAAATATTTCTTGAGAAAACAAACCCTTGTTTTTCAGTGCATATACCGGTAGTAATCTAGCCTTTTGATTATTTGAACAATACATGTCATTTTTACTATATATTGAAAAAATAAAAATTAATAATAAAAAAGAATAAAACTTGTTCAAAATATTATGGGTTTTTACTAAAAAAAACTGTTTAACATAAATTAAGATTGTACTTTGTCCATGGACATACATGTACTCTGTATAAACATGTTATTTTTAGCTGAGAAATAAGTGTTATGCAACACTCATGAGTGCAAACATGTTTTTGTCGCAAAAGTTGATAAATTGTCTAAGAAAAAAAAAATAGCATTAATTTATCTCTCAACACATCCAAACATATATTTCTCTAAAAACTTGCAATTTGTTTTTAAGTTTAGCTTTAAAAAATACAATTTTTTTATTATAAACCTGTTAAAATTGGTTTAGGATGAAAAAAGGATATATGTAGTCCATGTATCAATGATAAAAAAGGCTCTTAGAGTCCAGCAACGAAGTCTTATCTAATATTCACAGTTATTGTACAGTGAAAGGCTTTCTCCTCATTATAATTATGCCAACAATATTTCATTTATTGGTTCAAAAACTTTATCTGTGCTTTGTAGGTAAATTTTACAACATCTCTGGATATGCCACTTCTATGACTATATAGGAGTTCAGGCAGGTTTGATACATAAGTAAAGTAGTAAACATAAATTCCTTTAACGTGACCCATTTTCTGAAGACACCCAGTATCCCATGTCATATGCATTTCTAAATGTAAGTAAGTTTAGGCAGAGTAAAATTGATAGTAACTTGAAAGAAATTGCAGCGATTTATTTTATTTAGATCTAAGAGCAGATCACTTATGCATCAAATTATCACGAAATGATGCATTTTTAGTGTGAGTTAGGGTCCTTACATTCGAAGCATTATTGATATAATTTACAGTATGTTTTCAATGGGGCATGACCCGAGCAAGCGACAGAGTTAGAGGTCCTTGGGGATTGAAGTCCTCCATTTATTGAACAGAGACAATATACAACCAGAATTGAATGCACGTCTTGTGTTATTTATCATCCACACGAAATTGGTAAGAGCAAGACTTAAAATAATCCAGTTTACGTTAAATTTAGTATCCGAACTGGGACTGATAGACTTTGTCACTCCATGTAAGTTTGATTTAAATAGATTTTAAGCCTATTTAGAATACACTTGCTACTAGACAAATACCTGGCCAATTGTCCAGGAAATCACGTGATACATAGGCAACCTCAGCACAATTATTACATAATAAATTCTCTATCTTGGAAATCTTTAAAGAATCCTTTCTTAAAAAGGCACATGCTTCTGAGCCCCTAGGAGGCTAGAGGGGGTGGGGTGGGAGAGTACGGGATCAAAATTCCTTATCAAATATATTTGTCAATCATTCTTGAAAGAATTTCTTACCACCAAAATGGAAAAAAAAGTTTAATATAAAAAGCTTGTGTTTTAAGCTAGAGCCCATCAGGCCATCTTAAACTTTAGACGTTCATATAGCTATTCGTCTGCATTTCTTTGGAACAAACTATCACAAAATGTTCGGAACTCTAGCTCAGTGGGTATTTTTAAATCTGTATATCTTACTGAGTATTTTAACAGATACAATACTTAAATTAACAAGATTTCTTTTAATTCCAATTCATTAAATGTGCCAATTTATGAGTGTATTGTTACAAGTATGATTCTACATGTATATATCTGCCATGTGATTGTACTCTTGTATCTTATGTTTTTTATTTAGATGTTAATTTTATATGCCCATATATGATTGTAAATATGTGTTGATGCAGGACCACAATGAAAACTAGCTTTATGCTAATTGTGTAATCCTGGATAAATAAAGGTTATTATTATTATTATTATAATTATTAGAGAAAAATGCATATATACTATAAGTAACCCGCGTAAGCAACCGCTATTCCCTACCTACTAACAAAATTATGGTGTAGTGTAATTTTCAAAAACTCCAAAGACCTTTTAGAAAAAAATCTAGAATTTTTTCCAAAGTCAGTACATCAAAACGTACGACTTTTCAATACTTTATATAACCATTCCTCACGATAAATTAAAAACTAGGTATTTTGATATCAACTATTGCTTCTTCAATAAAAACGGAACTCTGAAATTTTCATATCTTGTGATTGGTCATCAACAAAATTACTTTGTTAAAAATCGCTCTACACACTAGTACTCTAAAGTTGATATTAAAAGGATACAGGAGCTCCTCAACGACAACATCGATGAAATGTATGGAGGTAACATACAGTATTCAAGTTCAAAAGTCTATTAAACAATACAAATTTTGGAACAGAGCAAACACGGTCTTCTAAAACATCAGAAGTGGGATCAGGTGCCATAGAGGAGTGAACATCCCCTACCGACCGGTCACACCCGCCGTGTGCTCTTTGTCATGATCCGGTAATAACGGGAAAATCCGTTGACAGTTCAGTGTGTAAATAATGGCCTAGCAATTAGTATGAAAAACGTCAGTCAGCATTTGAGTTAATGATAAATTGTATTTGCTGACAAGGTCATTGTATCTACCATAGAAGTTACGAAATGACGACTTTAAACAAGACTGCTGATCTATGTATTTCTTGGAGACCAGGTCTTCCAGGAATCTGTTGGAATTGCGATGGGCACCAATTTTGCTTTTTTATTAGCCGACTTTTTTATATTCCTATGAAGAAGATTTTATATATACTTGCTGAAGCTCTTCACCGGTATATGGTGACTTCTCTATATGAGTGAAACATTCTGGAATGGGACCTAAAACAATACACAGACAGGAGATAAAATATTGTGTCATAGGAACAATCGTTTGATCGAAATATACTTGCTTTGTGTTCATTAAACTGTAAGCAATAAAGTATTAAAAGTAATAGTAACTTTAATATTTGAATCATATTTTTGAAGCAAACTGCCATGTTACCTAGCTAGGGCGCACAATAATAGCTAAAACCGTCCAAAGATAAGAAAGACTTTTGAGACATATATAATGAAGAAATTTCCTGAGATTCGGTGAAGTTCAAATAGCCAGAAAAGTCGAATATCAGCTGAGATTAACACGATTACATATTATATCAAACCATAGCAATCCTGCACGAATAATTCAGCTAAATATGTATCATTCAGAACATTTATTCTCATGTTTAACAAAAGATAAACTTTATATTTACTTTAAGTGCCATAGTTAAAGGTAAAGAGAATAAACAAAACACTAAAGTTGGTAAAATCAGCAATAAAAAAATCTAACCTTCCATTATCAAAGCCAGGGTCTGTCTCGAGTCCAAGTGAGAATCTCTTGCTCTCAAAACTGTAAAATCACATATTTTCGTGGGGTTAAATTTTCATGGTTTGAAGAAAAACTATAGGTTCGTAGGTATTTTGAATTCGTGGATGAAAAATTGTTCAGTACTTATGTAACTTATTTACATTTCGTGGTGGACATGAATTCATGGGGTCCTTCATATTTCAAAAACCACGAAAATTAAACCCCCACAAAAATTAGTAATTTCACAGTTTATAATTGTGCACCTGATTCAAAGGCATTCTGAGAACAAAATGACTAATAAAGACTAGTATATCATTTTGCCTGTCCCTAATTTTGTAAACTAGAGCAGGAAGGTTCGATATATTGTTTGATATGTTATTTGTTAACAACAAAGTTTCATGTAAGATAAAATTGTCCATCTTTTAAAATATATCCACCTTGTAAATCGATAGCTTAACTTGAGAAGAAGCATAGATCCATGCAAAATTAATCACAGCGCAATTTCACTAAACCCTGGATGACCCACTCTGTCTCCAACGTCACTTTGGTAAACTTCTTAATCCTTTATTACATAGAAAAACATGGAGGTTTAATCAACTTTGTTATTTATCTAATGACGTCTGCAGCTATAAATAACAAGTTATATTTTTCTGATTAGAACTACATTTGGTTACCATTTTAGGACATTGGAAAGCAGTTTATCCAGATTGGTGTATACTTAATGGGATACCAAAAGGAAATTAAATCGCATTTTGAGAAAATGACAAAAAGCTAGACAGATGAACGGACAGATCAACAGACTACAGGAAACAGACTATCGCCAGCATTTGTGACCTTTCCTAACTTTACCTTTTCATCGTCATTATTCTCTAATTTCATCGTCATCATTCACTATTTGTTCATTGTCATCATTTCTAACTTTTACTTTTGTCGTTATTCCCTTTATTTTCGTCATCATAATTCCCTATCTTCTCCTTGTTATTATTCACTTTCTTTAAATCGTCGCCATTCACAACCTGATCATGCATGGTCATCATTCCTTAGCTTTTCTTCTGTCATCATTGTCTACACAGTGCATTTTCATCGTAATAATTCTCTATATGTTCATCGTCACCATTTACTATCTGTTCATTGTTAACATTATCTAATAATTTCTTTTCATTATCTTTTACCTTTCCATCTTTATTATTCATTACCAGTTCATCGTCTCCAATCACTACCTGATCATTGTCATCACTCTCATATTTTTCCTTTGTCGTTATTCTCTACCTTTTTATTGTCATATGATGAAATATGGAGACAAACAACAGTAATCAAGCTCATAAGTCTATTAAAACAATACAAATTTCGAGAGCAAACACGGACCTCCAAAAACACCAAAGGTGGGATGAGGTGCCATGGAGGAGTAAGCATCCCCTGTCGACCGGTTACACCCGCCGTGTGCTCCTTGTCATGATCAGGAAATAACGGGAAAATCTGTAGACAATTCAGTGTGTAAATAATGGCCTAACAAATAGTATGAAACACGTCAGTCATCATTCGACATAATGATAGATTGCATTTGTTGACTAGGTCATTGTATCGACCATAGAAATTGCGAAATATTGACTTTAAACGAGACTGTTGATATCCTTGTTTCACCAACTTGTTTGTCAATAGCTTGCCTCGTTTTGAAAATTTTCGAAAGAAGAGCATGCTCTTCTGTAACGAATCAACTGGAAGACATAAACTCCATATGCAGGTGAAAAGGGTATGTTATTATATAGATAAGGGAAGTTGACGATTGAAAAGTTGAAGTCATCTCTTTTATCATAACATTTTGTTGTTAGGTTACCATTAACGACTTCCCAGATATGAAACATGTGTGTCAGACTCTATGGTATCTTTTATTTCAAGTTCACTGGGGTATATTGAGTCGACATATGAATGGAATTAAATATGAAGATAACAAAAAGTATTCAAAGTCTATTTAGACAACACAAATCGTGAGCAGAACACACACGGACCTCCAAAACATCAGAGGTGTGATCAGGTACCATGGAGGATAGAGCATCCCCTGCCGATCGGTCACACCCACCGTGTGATCCTTTTCATGATCGGGGAAAACGGAAAAATCCGTAGACATTTCATTGTGTAAATAATGGCTTAACAAATAGTATGAAAAACTTCAGACAGGATTTTACTTAATGATAGATGTCGCCCGCGTGGCGCAGTGGTTAGAGCGTCTGCTCTAGAGTCGCGAAGTAAGGAGTTGATCCTTACATCGCGGGTTCGAATCCCACTGTGGGACGTGGAGACCAGTCCTTCGGATGAGACCGTATAAAGCGAGGTCACGTGTTGCAGTAGCACTAACGAGTACTGGTTGATTTCTAACGAGCACTGGTTGATTACTGAATGCCGAATACAGGACAAAATTTGCAGGGCAAGTGGTGGCGTCTCCATATGAGTGAAAAATTCTCGAGAGGAACGTTAAACAACATACAAACAAACAAACAACTTAATGATAGGTTGTATTGCAGACTAGGTTATTGTATCCCTTGAAATCTTAGTATCATCAAATAATGTCTCGGAAGTGGCCCGTGATCTCAGATAGTGTTTATGAGGTTATATACACCTTGAAATCTATTGTTTACCATCTTAGTATCAGTAAATGCAAAGGTATTTTACTTTAGGTTTATTCACGTAACAATTCCAGCACTGTGGATTAAATATCAGTATCAATACTTTTTGATGTACCAGAATGTGTTTCGACACTTCAATGAATTCTTTAAGCAACCATTTTCTTCATCATCTATGAGGGAATTTTAAGCTTAGTCTATCTAAATAAACCCCAAATTTAAAGTTTTTAGTATCGGATCATTTGAGTAATTTTGACACATTAATAAATTCCCAGGAACCGGAGAACATAACTAAAATATAACCACTTTCACCCTGTCCTCTTTGGTTAAAAAAAGAACCCTTATTCCTTGGATTATTGTTATTCTTCCTCCGTAAAGGACGGAGTCTCAGAAATTCAGTAAAAATGAGATGACTTTGAAATTACCATGAAAATAATTCAAGGTGCATAACACAAACCATTCTTCTGTTTTGCAATCATTGTGTTTTTGACTTTGTGATAATTTCTGGAAGATAGTAATACAAAAAAGTGGATACATGTGGCAAGACAAGAGTTTATTTTCGTGAACTGTGTCTAAAGTGTAGAGAAAAAGAACTCAGTCCTTAGCAGTACCAAAAGTTTTCTTTAATTATTTTTGAAAACAACAAGTGTGTAATACATTTGTTATATTACAGAATCTTCTGTTCGGGACGCTTCTGTGGAATATTCCACTAGATTTAATGGAAATTGTGTGAACACTTTCTTAGCATTATGACTGAATTTTTTCCCTCTAATTTTGTCATCTACGGTTTATTTGCCTCTTAGAATCAAATCTCTGAATCAAATATTTGGAACCTCTCCTCGACTTCAGGTACATTATTGTAGATATCCTGCAATGCCCATGGATTGTTTTAGTACATTCACAGAGCTTAGGAAAATCTTTGAAATTTTGATTTATTCTTGGAACTTGATACTATGGAAGAATATAGTTTACTTACATGAAATAAATGTGTTTGTGTATTTTTTTTTTTTTTTGATAGTAAAGCAATTCTTGTGTCCAAAAATCTTAAATGCCAATAAATAAAAATTACATTAAAAACTTATATAAACTATGGAGAAAATTGTTCGACTATACAAATGTACACCTTTTCAGATGAAACGGATTAACGTTGGTCAGCAAAGTGTTTATTCCGTGTACACCAAATCAGGTTCAACTTAAACCAACAGCTCAGTAATTTTAAATCTAAATTGTTTTTAAGCCTATGTGAAGAAACTACCATTCGTTATCTAATAGATATTTCACATTTCGTTGGCGGTTTCTCGGGAATCCCAATCTGACGTCACAACAAAGAAAACGACTAATGTCTTGGTTTTTAGTGCAGTCTGCAGATTTCTTTCATTCAGTGGAATAAGAAGACTAAGAAAGCCAGTTAATTCTGCTGGCAAGTGGAGGTTGTCATTGACAAAGACAGTATGATTAACTTGATTAATTGACCCTTGGTGCCATAATTTTTGAAGATCCTATTCCAGCAATATAAAACTCCTATTTCTAATGCCGTTTTTTAAGAAACCCCTGGAAGCCAAATTTGAACGTGAACTTTCAAATGACACTGGACTTAAGTAACAAAAAGATAAATAGAAGAAAAACACAAGTCAAATAACAAAAAGCATTTTTTTTCAAATTTCATGAATTTAATTACAAGTCTTACATGTATCACGAATTTACATCACCATAGATAAAAATATCCACGGCTAGTCTCTACGACCTTACTACGTATCAAAGCTGTAGGTTACGTCACCAGCTTGACGTCCCGTTAAACAGTTTTATTTTCCTTTTACTGAGTTATTCATTTACATACACATCTAAATGTACATATTCTACGCTAAATGATAGAAGACATGGAAACATCACATGACGCCAGATATATACATTTTTGACTGATATACTAGTTGGTCTATAAAGTTTTGGTAGCCTTACGTATTCTATCTTATGCGTTCTATCACATTTAATTTCGGCTACCCTTCACAACACGGTTTCCCTCGTGGTTTCCCCGTTGTTCTTGCCATTTTCTGTCGGAATAGATGCGTAATGGGAACATTCCTTATTTATTGGCATCGGAAACCTTGCAAACATTCCCATAAATGTCTCTCGGAATTGTCGGCTCATTCCACAATAAATAAAGAAATTCAGCGGATAAGATAGTAAAATAAATGTGTTGGAAATTAGTGACAATAAATTGAATGTCTCCACTGACATGAAATTAAGCTTAAAATTGTTTTGGATGAGATGTAAAATCACGATAATACCCAGGGGTAACTCAACAAGCAAAAACAAGCCCACGACGCACACCAGCATTAAGGTTGTACAGTTGCTATCCTTCAACTTCATGGATTCGCTTCTTTTGTTTTGTTTTAGAAGTTGCATTCTTCGCTTTTGAGCTGTTCGAAGTGTCCATATGAGTACTGAGTTTATCACCACAAGGACTGTGCACGGGACAAGGTGAATGAAAATAGCTCTGAACCAGAAGTAAAGATTGAAATACAGATCTTCATTTTGGAGGACCCATGGAGAGAATTGTTCGATACAAGCTACGAATGTGTTATTGGGCGCGTTATGTATTGGAAAGGGGATGAATTCAAAATCAAAGGTACGCGCAATCTGTGAGAGTATGGCCAGAAAATAGATTATGAACGATGCAATGACAACGTTTTGAATGGTGCAGAATCGTCGGGCGGTAGCTGTATGACAAATGTAAACGTAACGTTGAATGGCCAGCGTCACCGTAAGCCAGATCGAGGCAGTGTGGAATATAGTTGGAATGAGCTCGCCGAGAAACTTGTAAAGGTAACACCAGTGATATTCCACAAAGTCCTCGTAGTTTTCGAGAGAAAAGAAATGAATGAATACCGGAAGCGGGGAAATTCCAGTGAACGTGTCGGAAATTGCCATGGCAGCTAAGATGGCGTTAGTTGGTGAACGCATGTGCCTTCGCAGAAGAATAAGAACTACGAAAATATTTGTCACCAAAGTGAAGAAAATCAGAACGGGGGAGACGAATCCGTTAACGTAGAACGCCTCTGGGATAGGATAAACAAAAGCAAGGTGGAAAGGGAAAGACATATTCATCATCAGAAGTTCCTCTGTGCTTTCCATGTTGGTGATGGTCTTGTGTGTGACACAATATTCAGGAAGATAATTGGGTAATATGTCTCTCCGTTGTTTTGACACAAATTGTCTACATGTCTTGTCAAAGGTATTTCACCTAGCGATGACGTCAAGGTTTCCTAAGATAGAGAAAAGAAAATACATTAATACACAGCAAAATTGTCGAAGTAGGAACATTTGATTAAAAGCACTTTACGACTTCTGATATTATGTTACTGTTTCTCTGTTAAACAAATTTAGGGCATGTAATTGATTATCTCTTCAAACACAATAAAATTATCAGAGTTCATTGTAAGACCTGCTGACACACACTTAATATATACATATATACCTAAATACAAAACAAAGTGGTGTTGGCAAACAGCAGCATCAAAATCCAATACTCTACTTAACCTTTTATCACAAAATAAAGTGGTTCTTACTGTTTTCTTTTTTCTTGAATAACCAAATACATTAGAAAAGTACATCAGTAATTCTAAAGGTTATAGTGATCAGGGAAAAGGTCAAAATACAAAAGTGAATGTCATCAGGTAAGGAAAGGGTCTCAATACAAACTATTCCCGAAGAGAACCTGCCTGAAATCGTTAGACATCTGCGACTCTAGATAATGGCATCATTCTGAGATGTTGTTTGTTTGATTTATTATCATTATAGAAGTTACGTGTCACTTACAGTCGAGTTAACGCCCTCCCTGCTTTGCCAACGAATATCGTATTTTTGTAACGTAAATCTTCTATAATCTCTATGGTTGGATTATCTTGCGAGGCCTTAAGAATCTATTGGCAGTTATAATTTGATTTACATCGCGTCAGATTTATTTTTTATTCAATTACATATATTCATTAACCTATATATTTAACCAGAAGTCAAGCGCATGTCAATTAAAAATAAACTGCAATTTTAGAAAACACTGAAGTTCTTTTTCAAACAAAATTTTTGCATTAGGCCTGTAAGTTAAAAGAAGTAATTTTCTTTATTTTAAATTTGAATAGAAAATGCTTTCTTTACCTTCACTGTAGTTCGTGATGAACAGCATTTAAAATTATTGGCCAATTTTTTTCCCAAAGAAACGTCAAATCCTCTAGCTATCCCGTTGTTAGCATTTATACGATGTGTTTCTTCGTGTGTTTTTTTTAAGGAGAATGCATTAAGGTCATACGCAACGTACCTTACCTACTGATAATTTTTCCAGATATTCTTAATTTAAGACTATAGTTTCATCAGATGTTTGTAGACAAAAAGTCAGCATGTATTACCAGGGGTTTTGAAAAGATATCAATTAATGAAAATTCTTGTATAATTCAAAGAAAAATATATAAAAATTACAAAACATATATTCTAGATGTTCTTTTTTTATCCAAACTTGTTTTAGAAGAAGTGTACAACAGCATATATAGATATTAAAATGTAGAACACAGTTCCTTTAAGTATTGGAACTCTTCAACTCCAGGGAAAAAGACAATAAAGTTCAAACTACGTTGCGTTTGTCCTTAATTGGTTTTTATGATCTGAATTATGCTAGATTGGAATAATTTAGTTCAAATAAAATGGCTAAGTACATATTCACGCGAGAAAATCTGCCTTGGTAACTCTTCTAATAATCGCTCGTCAAATTTACAAGAGATGCTCTAATTTATGATCTGTAATTTTATATCAAAGCATACGCATTTGAATGGGGCCGCAGTCAGAGCCAAATTGATTCTTATGAAAAAAGGTTATATGCTTCTGATAAAGTGGAGAGATTTCTTTAAAGTGAGCATCCCTGATGGGCGAGGAAGCGAATAACGGGCCTCAGTGGCCTAATGTTCGGAAAAAATAAATAAGCAATTACTCCCGCAAAAAACCCTGGCGCTACCGTATCATTAAAATGCCTAGCTATGTTTATAATTTACATTCACAAAGGAATTTGAAATAAAAAAAAAAAATCTTAATTGTAACCAAATGATTTAAAGTTGCATCAACGATAAATTGGCTTTTTTATCATACTGGTTAACATATGAAACAGTTTCCTAGCGATTTTATTTTGAAGCTCAATGAGCGTAACACCATACGTAACGTAAATAGAAGGTCTCTTTAGATATAAACAGTTGCCACGGATAAAAAGATATAGGATTCTTTTACGGAGTATTTTTATTTAATTGGAAAAGTACGTGCATTTATATGAAGATATTGTCACTAACAACTCGCCATTTTCCTGACTCAAAATTATCTGAAACCACTGATGCCGAACTAGCTTCACAGTATATTTCGACAAAAATCTTTCTATTTGTCAAACAACAGATCATGTTTGGTAGCACCCAACTCTAATCCTGGAGAAAATAACGAGACCTATTCGTCTTTGTCCAATTAATTTACATGATACTGCAATAAAATGCTTTATGTCACCCTCTATCTACACTATCAGTGTTTCTAACAATGTTAACTCATTTAAAATCAATATCACAGAGGTTTTTAATTGTATCAAAGCAGTCAAACTTTATTAAAATGACAGAATCGCCCATTGACAATTTCGGTGAACATAAAGGAAACGTTGTACAGAACCTTCATTAGTCCGCGGCGGTAGTGCGGTTGGGAGAAGTTCCCGGATGTCGAAGTAAATTACAGGCTATAAAATTGATGGAGCAATTTTGGCCCTGTCGTGCAACAGGTCATGTCTTTTGTAAAGAAAGCGTGATTTCTATTAGTGGTGTATAACTGTTCCTGCCTTGAAGTACTCGCCAGGTCATTTTACATATCTTTTAATGAAGAATTAATCGAATTCAGAATAATGGTGACTAGGAATGCATCGCCAATGGTGTTGAATCTGGCATATTAAGTGAATTATTGATCTGCTTTGGAGAGAAAACTCAAGTTGAAAGACAATAATAAACACATTGACAGTTCTTGGAGATATATATCAATAGTTCTCATAAAATCAGAAAAATATTTTCCAAAAGCATTTTCATTGATGGTCCATAACAAAATGCATGATTCCTGTAGTATATTACTCTTGTTTAATACTGGACCAGATGATATGCTCTTTAATTTGCGTCGTTAGTAGGGGGTGTTTTACTAAAAACAACACAGTCCTTACAGTAGATAATTGATGAAATTTGGAGGAGGATTGGCAAGGGAGATAATTTGACAGTCCCCTGTATCTGTGTCTTAGTTTGAATCTATCACTTGAAAGAACTTTTACAACCTATTAAATCCAATTTCCAAAATAGAACTACAATCAGTAGAGGAACTATTATTCCTGATAACATTTATGTCATTCAAACAATCACAATTGGAGAGGAAGCGACCGTAAACAGACAAAGTAATGGAAGCTATCCGGGCAACGCCCAGAGAGAGAGAGAGAGAGAGAGAGAGAGGTCACAATATTCTGACAAAATACTGAAAACTGAATTGTTTACTTGAAGTACATTTTTCACCTCGGGCCCCGTTTTTCCTTCATTTGGCGGATTAATCAGATATACCAGGACCAGGAGATAGATCATTTCAATGTATTTATTTAACTAAAGGCCTTTTTGGTTGTCCTATTTTACAGGCTATTGCTACTTGGAAGATTTTTTTACGGCTTGGAAATTGCTGTTAATGTTTAGGACTTTCCTGGAAAATTGCAAATATCTGAGTGACATGATCTGGAACGCGCTAATCTTCTCCACAATCAAGATTTATTGTCATAAATAAAAACTTTTTCTCCACTTTTCATGGCCACTACCGGGTACATGGAAGCATTGTGGGATACCTAATTTTATGCATTCGGTGACTATAAGATAGAACGATAGTCTTGTCTAGTCAATTCTTTATTTCTGATCATATATATATGCCAAACTCTAAACTTTTATTATTGATAACAATAAATTTTACGACATAACATTTTGGTACTGAAAAATGATCTTTTTCAGTTATTTCATATTTAGACCTACATTCACACATATTCCTTTTTGTTTCGATAATATAACACTGCATAGTTTAAAAGATTTACATATGATTTATTACTTAAGCTTCTCGCAATTTCGTAAAACTAATTTATTTCTAAATAAAGCGAACTTTTTTGTATGCTATAATAATCAATATGTTTCAAGGATTCGTAGTTCGTTCTGCAAAACCAAAAAAAAAAAAAACAAAAAAAAAAAAAAAAAAAACAAAACAAAAAAAAAAAAACCTTACTCATATCATTATAACCTACTTAGTTATATTTTTATTTCAAATGCAAAAAGAAGGTGAATTTAAAAAAAAAAAAAAATTATAGTCAGATGAAAATGATGTTCCTGCAGAATCAGCCGATATAACATGTACGACCTACCTTTTAAATAACAGCAGTATCAGCCGAGATATAACATGTACGACCTACCTTTTAAATAACAGCCAGGTGGTTCAACAGTTGACTTGGTTTTAACTGATAAAGACTGACAAGATAGAATGCCATTCAGAAATATTTATAATCATATCTACATGGCGATAATATGATAAGTCATCAACTTCCATACACGCCCATTCTACTGAAATAAACATAAAGCTAATCGTATTCTTTTCACAGATAATTTATTTATTTTTCAATAAAAAAGAGGAACATTGTCGAAATATAAGTGTCTTGTAATTAAGTTATGACTAGAATGAAATCTGAAGAATCTCAATAATTTAACTTTCAAGCATCAAAAATTGTGCATTTTAAAAGTTCCCATAATTATAGTATATTAAATTTTTATAAAGCATGGCCATTTTTCTCGATTAATTGGACCTTAGACAATGTTTACGTTAATTAGAATCAGAAGCCACATACTATTGATCATCCCAAATCCTACATTGGTGGCAAAGCATTGTTAAAACGCACTTTGAAAAATTACGCACTTTCAAATTTTTTTTCAAAGCGCGTTAAATTTGGGACCGAGTTAACAGGAAACAATTTTTTTTCTTTTCAAAGTGCATTAATATGGACCATATTAACGCACATTGAAAAAAAAAGTGTGCACGGCTTGGTCAATATTGTTGCTAATATTAAGTATGATAGATAATTATTTGAACCTGGTTGGATAACTTTTCGGTGATGACGTCACTTCAGGATCTGCGATATGGTAAATATCCCTGCGATATAGACGTTTTTACGATTTTTAGGGGTTGTCTTGTTCCAAAA